TTGGATCTGGAGCAAATGCAACATGGTGCACACTAAATGAATCAGAAACTGCTGTTCCCAAAATATAATTACAATAAAGATTTGTGATGTGGTTAGTGTATCTCAAGAGAGGCCCTGAGGGAATCGGTTCTTGGCTCTAGAGCAGCACTGAGTGCAAGTAAACATGACCCATTCAAATATGTCAGGTCACCCACAAGGAAACAGAGCAGAGAAGTCCCATTCAGGAATGGGGACACTATCCTGGAAACAGGGGCTGCAGGAGGCCTAAATGACCTGGTGAAAATGCCACGACTGAGAACACTGGGCCAGTCTGCAAAAAAAGACAAACAAAATTACTGTGCTGTGCATCTGGCTTGGAGAATCACCATTTTCGAGAGCAATCAGGGTGAATGAGATGGTCTTAATGAGAACCAGCCTTCCTGTCCACCTTCCATTCCTCCCCAGCTACCCTGGCTGTGACCCTGGGGAGCAGAGGCTGCAAGTCACGGCGCGGAGTGGCTGCACACGCTGCGTGGCACCGCATCGGGGGCTCGCGGACCTGCCCGGGGCCTGCGCTGGGGCCGTCCCCATGCGGTGTCCTCATAGCCGGGCCCAGCAGCTCCCCCGAGCGATGAGCGCTCCCACCGGTGCGCCCAGATGTGTGTTCCCATCTGTGCACAGATGTGCTTTCCCAGCTGGGCCCAGATAGGCAAGCCCAGCAGTGCACAGATGTGTGTTCCCAGATGTGCACTCCCCATTGTGTCCAGATGTGAACCCCCAGATGTGCCAAGAAGAGTCCTTGCCCTGCTCTGCACTATCCCAGCAGTGCCTTGATGTGCCCCCACCTTCTCCCAGATGTGCCCCTGCTCTGCACTCTCCTGGCTGCATCCAGCTGTGCCCCCACTCTGTCTTATCCCAGCTGTTTCCAGTCATGAACCAGCTCTGTCTTATCCCAGCTGTGCCCCTACTCCACACTCTCCAAGCTGCTCCCAGCTGTTCCGTGTTCTGCGCACTCCATCCATGCCCAGCCTTGTCCCCACTCCGCACGCTCCCAGCTGTATCCAGCTGTGCTGCAGTTGCACTCCCAGCTGTATCCAGCTGTGCTCCCAGCTGTGCCCCGTGCATTCCCATTGCAACCAGCTGCCCCTCCGCCCACTCCCAGCTGTGCCCAGCTGTGCTCCCAGCTGTGCCCCGTGCATTCCCATTGCACCACGCTGCCCCCTCCGCCCGCTCCCAGCTGTATCCAGCTGTGCTCCCAGCTGTGCCCCGTGCATTCCCATTGCACCCCGCTGCCCCCTCCGCCCGCTCCCAGCTGTATCCAGCTGTGCTCCCAGCTGTGCCCCGTGCATTCCCATTGCACCCCGCTGCCCCCTCCGCCCGCTCCCAGCTGTATCCAGCTGTGCTCCCAGCTGTGCCCCGTGCATTCCCATTGCACCCCGCTGCCCCCTCCGCCCGCTCCCAGCTGTATCCAGCTGTGCTCCCAGCTGTGCCCCGTGCATTCCCATTGCACCCCGCTGCCCCCTCCGCCCGCTCCCAGCTGTATCCAGCTGTGCTCCCAGCTGTGCCCCGTGCATTCCCATTGCACCCCGCTGCCCCCTCCGCCCGCTCCCAGCTGTATCCAGCTGTGCTCCCAGCTGTGCCCCGTGCATTCCCATTGCACCCCGCTGCCCCCTCCGCCCGCTCCCAGCTGTATCCAGCTGTGCTCCCAGCTGTGCCCCGTGCATTCCCATTGCACCCCGCTGCCCCCTCCGCCCGCTCCCAGCTGTATCCAGCTGTGCTCCCAGCTGTGCCCCGTGCATTCCCATTGCACCCCGCTGCCCCCTCCGCCCGCTCCCAGCTGTATCCAGCTGTGCTCCCAGCTGTGCCCCGTGCATTCCCATTGCACCCCGCTGCCCCCTCCGCCCGCTCCCAGCTGTATCGTGCGGGATGGGCGTGTGGAGTGCGTGGGATGGTCTTGCAGAGCGCATGGGATGGTCTTGCAGAGCATGAGATGGGCATGTGGAGCACTAAGGATGTGCATGCGGAGCGTGTGGGACGGACGTGTGGAGTGCACAGGATGGGCGTGCGGAGCACGCAGGTGCCGGCTCACCTGCAGTCAGGCACATTCCAAGCCAGCCCGGCTCACGCTGCCAGACTGCGCGCAGGGCAAGGCCACACTCATCCTGCTCCTTCCTTCGAGCGACTCTCGCAGGGAGCGAGCCAGCAACCTGGCAGCTCCCACGCAGGACGTGCCCGTGCTCCTGTGCCTTCCCGCTTCCTCGCAGAGACCATGCTGCGAGCCGAGCTCCACAAGGACCAGCTGGAGCCCAGTTCCGTGGGGTGACAGGGTTCTTCAGGATGTCGAGCCACATTTTGTCAGGCTTAGGGCACTCCCGGAGACACTTCAGCTTTTAAGGCCAAACTCTCCCTACTTGGAGGTGCTGCAGGGCTGTTAAGACAGCAGTGACCAGTTTGGGCATCCTATAGGCTTGGCATAGATCCACATGCTCCGCATCCTTGGCATTTGTCTGGGCATTTCAAGTGCTTGGGTTCATCCGCGTCCCATATACTCAGCATTTGCTTGGGCATCCTGCATCCTGCATGCTCAGGTTTCAGCCGCATCCTGCACGTTTGCATTTGTCAGGGCATCCTGCATCCTATATGCTGAAGATTCATCCATATCCCACATGCTCAACATTTGCCTGGGCATCCTGCACACTGGGGTCCAACTGCATCCCACGTGCTTGGGGTTCACCTGCACCTTGCGCACTCAAGATTCACGGGCATCCCGTGTGCTCTGGGTTCACCTGCATCCCACGTGCTTGGGGTTCACCTGCAACCCATGTGCTTGGGGTTCACCTGCATCCTGCGCACTTTGGGGTTCACCACATTCCGTGCACTCCAGGTTCACCTGCATCCCACGTGCTTGAGGTTCACCTGCATCCCGCGCACTCAGGATTCGCCGTATCCCTCACGCTCAGCCTTTCAGCACACAGCAAGGCGCCCAGGCACAGTTGCTGGTTAGGGGCTATCGCCTGCCCAGGAGGCACTGGAGCAGCCTGTGCTCACACGGGGGTGGCTGCAGAAAGGAGGTTGCAGGAGTTCCGCTTTCCCGGCAGCAGCACTCCCATTCCCAGACAGCGGGAGGCGGCATGGCTGGGCTGGGGCCAGCGGGCGCGCGGGCGGGCGGCCACGGGCAGCGCCGGCCCCGTC